GGGGACGAGAAACTTTGTCTGGCTCTAGAAGAACAGGTACTGATGGTTCTAGTACATCACGTGTTGGAGATATACCACATTTAGTTACAGCTTCTCCAAAAGGAATAAGAAAACCTAGTTATGGGCCACCAAATCGCGTGGAGGCTGGTTTCCATACCAACGGCACAAGATATGGTGATATGGGTATACCCAAGTCAAACTATCAGTTAAGAAAGGATTCTCACCCATTTACCCCAGACGATCGTTACTTATTTCTACGTGGTATACCTTATTCTGCAACAGAAGTTGAAGTACGGGCTTTCCTTGCGGGAATACGTGTGGATGGAGTGATTCTGATAAAGCACCGCAATGGATTAAACAATGGTGATTGCTTGATAAAATGTGCTACACCTAGCGATGCCTTAGAAGGACTTAAACGTCATAGACAATACATGGGTCAGAGGTTTATAGAAATTAGTCCAACTACAGAGGAACGGTGGATTGAATGTGGTGGGCGGATAGACACGCCAGATGAAATTGATCACTTTTTGTGTGAAGACCATTCTCCAAGAAGTTCAGGCTACATGCATTCAAGGAAGCATTCTCATTCAAGATCACCAAGGAGACAAAGAACACATTCTCGTTCATCTCCTAGTCAGGAATATTACATACACTTAAGAAATCTATGTTTTAATGTGGAAAAGAGAGATTTGAGAGATTTTTTTCCTGATCTGGATATACACAGCAAGCAGATCAAGATTCTAACAGATAAGCATCAGAAAAGGACTAGAGATGCCTTTGTGATGTTAAGGAATGAGAGAGAATATCAGGCTGCTTTGGAATGTCATAGAAAGATTCTTATCAATCGTCCTGTGTACATTTTTCCAATTTCAAGAAAGTCAATGTTGAAAATAATTGACTCTTGTGAGAGGAAAAGATCACTGGACAGAGATCATCTTGGACAGGCCATATCAGAAAAAAGTTATCGGGAAGGTCATTCCAGCCCTAGGAATTGTGTTTATGTAAGAAATTTTCCATTTGATGTGTCAAAAATTGAAGTGCAAAAGTTCTTTGCAAGATTTGATATTGACGAAGATGATATTTACTTGCTATATGATGAAAAAGGAGTTGGACTGGGAGAAGCTCTAGTGAAGTTTAAATCTGAAGAACAAGCCATGAAAGCAGAAAATTTAAACCGTCAAACATTTTTGGGAACAGAAGTATTAATAAGACTTATATCTCAAGATCAGATGCATAAATTTGGTGTTGCTGCATCATTATCTGCACCAAATGAAATGCATGGTCATCCACATCCGTATGACAGAGGTGACCTCTCCCGTCCAGTTGGTTCACCATCTGGGCCACCACAAGGGCCACCCATGCATTCTTTTGGTCCCCCTGGGAACTTCAGGCATCATTCTGAATTTAGACATCCCCCTGAGGAGTTCATGTGCCCTCCTAAGGATTTTAGGGGTCCACCACCCCTCATGGATTTTGGTGGTGACAGTGAACCTTGTGGCAGAATGGAGTTTGGGAATAATAAAATGGGAAATTTTCCTGAAGGAAGATTTATGCCAGATCCAAGTTTCAGTGGTGGTTCTGAACGTGTTGTGCCTATTCTGTTGAAAAATTTACCTTTTAAAGCTACTCCTAATGAGATTCTGGATTTTTTCTATGGCTATAGAGTGATACCAGAGTCAGTTTCTCTGCAGTACAATGAACAAGGATTACCTTCCGGTGATGCCATTGTTGCTATGACAAACTATGAGGAAGCTATGGCTGCTATTAATGAACTGAATGATAGGCCCATTGGTCCACGGAAAGTTAAGTTGAGTTTGCTGTAAAGGAGGAAAACATGCTCTAATAACACATTCTAGGTTTGACAGTATTGACAGTTATTTTAATTGCTGGAAGATGCAAAACAGTTTCCACCAACGGTTGTAAATAATACCCAAGTTCAGTTGTTTAGCTCTTGGTTGAAATACCTGTAGGACATTGAATGTCATACATCAAGGTATAACAGGATGGAGTTATAATGCTTTGTTTTTTGGTTTTGTTTTAAACTAATTCCAGTCTTATGTCTTTGCATCAAATAAAAACATAAGTGCTGGTTGACTGACTACACAAACGGTTCAGATAGAAGATTTGCAGTGCTACCTGCATTAGCAAATGACACTTCTTACTGAGATTAGCTTAATAAAATTTTTAAATGTCTGTTTTGTTTTTTTTTTGGTTTTTTTTTTTTGTTGTTGTTTTATTTCTTTTTGTGTAAACTTTTCAGGTTTTATTCGGTTTCATATGTTTGCAGGCATTCCTGTTTAAGAGCTTGCTGTTCTCATTAGCTAGCTTTGCAACTTTTTTAAAATAAAAATGAAATTGCCATTTAAATGTGTGTCTTATATTTAAAATTTCTATAGTTCATGATCTCAATTATTATGCTCAGCAGATCTGGGTCTTGGTGAGAATGATGCTGGCTGCTTTGTCTGGAAAGAGTGAACTGGTAGTTTGTGAACACAGCAAAGGACGGGTAGTTGACAGAGATTGCAGAGGCTGTGTTAATCAGTTTTTTCTCATTCACTGTAGTACCTTGAGGCAGAAAATGAAAGTTGGAATTCAATCAAGAATTCTGACTTCGGTGGTTATGTTTTATCTTCACATGCTGCGTAATATGAATACTAACTGGCTAATGATGTCTGGATGCATTCCAGGTCAGTCTGTGATTAGTTTTAAGTGGCATCTGTCATGGGCAACCAAGCTGACAACCGTTATTTTCTTACGTAATAAAAGAAATGCTTATGTTAGCATTTAGAATATGTTGTTTTCATTGGTTTGTTACCAGCATATTTAAATTTTAGGAAGAAAAAAGCTTGGAAAAGCTGTATCTTCAAAATTAAGACTTAGTAGGAAACTTTGTGTGGGCAAGGACTTTCATTGACATTACAACTGTGCCAGATAGTATCTGTAGTACTAAAGGGTAAGTCTCAGTCCCCTCAAACTGAGACAACAAAGTTGCAACTTGGCAGTGAAAACTTCCAACCTTTGCTTGCTCAATCACCAGAATTTCTAAATTCATGAAGTAGGGAGGTCTCTTTCAGTTCCCTCCTCAGAACAAGTTTTGGCTCGAATGGGCTACTCAAGGCCTTGTCTATTGCATCTTGAATAGCTTTAAGGACAGAGATGTCCAGGCAGCCTTTCTAGTGAATGATCCCCCCTCACTGGTGGTCACACCTTTATTACTTTATGTGAAGTCATCATTATCATTGCAGAACTTCCATGCCAGCTGTTTGGAACAAGAAAACAAAAATAATGGAACTTTTTGTTCTGTAATATTTAAAAGGTTAGTGTAGGTTTATTTATTCTGCAGATTATTTATTGTGTTTTAAGTGCCAAGAAAAAAGCTTTTTGAATGATAATGCAAGGTCTGTATATGTAGATTCCCCTAAGCCAAGAAACATAATGGCCAAGTTTTCAAATTCTGAACACATACTGGTTTTTGCTTTCTGGTAGGAATTAGCTTCAGAATCATAGAGTTTTGAATCCTCCTCTGAACTTAAAAGGAATTAAAATGGAACAATTTTGTGCTTTATTTAATATCTACTTTAAAAGAGGTCAAGCCAGAAGATGCTGCAGGAAAAATAAAGACATGAGAATTCTCAAAATAATTCCCTGACCATCATTGTTGAAAACTTCATTGCAACTATTCTTGGAAGCTAGCATCTTTACAACTAAGCTGTGTTGAAAATGTGAATACAACTAAATTCTCCAGTTAATCAGTTTTAGATGATCTGTTGATTTTAAAGTGTTACTAGTTACTACACAATAGGAGATTTCAAACCTGGAGGCTGGAAAGGTAAAAGTTTAGTAGGCTGCTTCGCCAGTAAAATGTGAGATTTGAAAAAATCTTTTAGAAAAAAAATCTCTGTTTTCAGAAAAGGTTAACAGTAATTGCTGACAAGATAGTTTTTCAGATGGTAAACTTTCCCTCCACCCACTGAACACATCAAAAGTATCATAAAGCTTGTAATGGCAGAGGTCATAATTAAGGCATTACAAAATGGTCTTTTATTTGCCCTGTAGCTGATTTGTATTTAATTTAAAGACAGATTATGGCTACCATAGGGGTAATCTGAAATGTCTGACTGATAGACTGAAAAATTTTTTTTTTACTGTCTATAAAGAGCTGTATCTCAGACTATGTACAGATGCACTGAAGCATAGGGAACTTGGGAAGGGATGCCAATACATCAGTTAAATAGTAAGGTTAATAGGACAGCTGGTTCCTAGCTGTTATCCAGTTGATCTTTTGGGTCCGTGCATGTCCATCTGCCTCTGTTCCCCTGCCTCTCCAGACTGGGAATTATATTCTGATTCTGCCTGAAGAGATGGTACAAGTGCATGGTGTGATGACAGCATTTCCTAACAGGGTAACATAACAGGATAAGAGGGTTTTATAATATCAGATGCTTAGTGGTTTGAAGGCACTGTATTTCCAGTACAAAGGACAAATCAAGAGACTGCCTATAATTACATGGCTTGAAATCCTGTGTTTCCTTTTTAAGTATAATCATATAGTAAGGAGTAACAAATGAAATGCTACAGTTTGTGTGCTGCTGATAGAGAACATGTGAAGTTTCCTTAGTTATACCTTCTCTGAAGTTGCTTTTGCTACCATTGTCCAAAAATTCTGATGTAAAAAAACCAGTTTTTGTTGTCAAGCACTAGAAATAGTGATCACCTACGAAAGCAGCTTGAGGCATTTAGGGAAGGTCTAACAGGACAGTCTGATCAGAACTCTTAATCCCAAAGGAATGTGCCTGTGTGTTCAACAGAGAGGCAAAATAATCTAGGCAAGAATGGATACAACTCTGCATCATCTAGGTGCCAGTAATTAAAGACACAAATGAGTGAATGGAGTAACTGCAAGTCAGTCTTACAGTAAGCACTTGTACCATGAGAAAATTCTTTGCAGAAGGATCTTTAGGTAGTATTTAATTCTTTATTAACATCCTAAATTGTTATTCTGGCTGTGGAGTATTTTAGTCAGGAACTTTTAATCTGTAGTTTTGAGTTCACAATTTCTGTGCAACATGCAAAGTTAAGACATATATGCATGCAGGACAAAGTTGCCTAATGGTACTTTTCTGGAAGTTTTTCTGTGATTCCTGAAGTTGACTTTTTTTTGTGATGTAGGGAGAATGAATTTTATGCTTGTGAACTGCATAAATTTTTAGAAGGCAATTTATCTAAACAAAACTCCTTTTTTTCAGAATTGCTTTCTTAAGGCATAGTACACAAATATTTGCTATTTGTATCTATGTATATTACACGAAAACCTGAAATTTTTTTGAAGTCAGCCATCTGTTTTGGAGATGGACTACTTCATTGTGTGTGTGAAATGGTAAAGTGGTGATCACCAGAATCCTGAAATGATAGGACTATTTATGGAAGTTCCTTAGTTGCTGAAATAAATGGGAATTAATTATGTAGATATTTTTAAAGTATTTAAAAAGTACTTAAGTATTTACTCCTTGCCAGAAGTACTTCAATGTCTGGTATGTAATGCTGGTGTAAAATTATGTTTTGGGTTTAAAACAACCCTATATTGTGAACTTTTTGCTTATTTTCATCTCTTATTTTTGGCAAAAGCTGTTTTTTTCACATTTCAAAACAGGCATGCATTGCATCAGTGGACAAAAGTAGCATCAATATTATAAATGCACTTCCTGATTTTTTTCTGTAACTGAAAGAAGATTTTGTTATAACTTGTTTTCCCAGTCACAAGTTTAAATTCCTTCTGCATTTGTTCTTTAGCAGATACTAAAGCTGGAGGGGAACAGTGTGGTAGCAAGTGTGGCGGACAACCATACACTGTTATAAAATGAACACATGCAACCTGTAACTCCAAATCAGATAAGAAATTACACTCAAAATGTGTAGTTTCTTGTATGTTTGATGGAACAAGTAACTGAATCATGCAGCTAAACACATGAAATTTGAATTAAGTATAGCATGTCAACTAATATAATAAAGATCAACTACATAAAATATCCACTAGTTTAATCATGAAGGCACTTTTATTTAAAAGCAAAGCAGCATTGAACATAAGATACTGGGCCAGGTCCTCATTAGTGACTGTTCATTCTGTATGTGTAAAGGAATCAAAAGTCATCTGAACCTGATGAAAGCCTGAGAAAAATGAAAATAAGAAAGAAAATACACCTCACCATGCCTTCTGCCATCCAGGGTGGATAGCAAAATGAAATCTTAACAGGTTGTTGCTGAAAACAGATTCTCAATTACTACAGTTATTTAGGATGTATAAACCCAATTATATCAGTTACAGCTAGACTACTTAAATTCAATAGGTGTATTGCTAGAGAGGTAATTTATTGGCAAAATAACGAGCAAACAATGTTCGTAACTGCTTGAAAGCTTAGTGCAGTTTTTGGACGCTGTTCATCACGTAAGTTTAAGCAAATGTGATTACAATAGAACATCTATGCAAATATAATACAGGCATCTATTTAAATATTTAATTTTCTAGCTACTGAAATTGCCCACATTCAGTGGATTTTTTTTCCATTCTTTGCAACTGGTCATTTCTTGTCTGGCACTCTTAAATCAGTGCCGATTCTTGCTCCTGCTGGAATTCTAAATATATAGCCCTGGTGAAATTCTAGATCCAACATACAAAAGCCTTTAGGTAAAGGTTTTTTTTTTTTTTTTCCCTTAATAAAAAAGCCCCTCTTAGAATAGTTTTGTTATCTCACTTCCTTATTAGCATCAAATTCATCCTCCTCATCCTCCTCTTCAGAATCTTCATCTTCCTCCTCTTCCTCTTCTTCATCTTTTCTTAGCATTCTACGGGAAATCTGATGAAACAAAAACCCAACAAAAGGATATCAACTGTTTGTTTTCTGCAAACAAAAAATAATTATCCGTTGGCATTTTCAGCCTAAATGTTTGTAGGGTTTTCATTTGGGGGCAAGTTGTTTATTTATTTACTCTTCGTAGGATGCACACCAATGGAAAAATACATGACACACAATAAAAATACTATAATGATTTTTAAAAGCTAAAAGAATCCATGTAGTCCTTCAGAGCTTTTATAGGATAGGGAAAATGGTATTTTTTACCAAATTGATTTTTAGCATCAACAAGATGCAAATCAGTTTTTTCCAGGGGTGACTGCTGAAACAGCAGGCTGAAGAGGCATATTAGGGCCTAATCTTACCTTGAAGACATCAGACCTTGGTAGTTAAAAGCTCAAAACAATGCTGCTCTAAGCTTTTTACCTTTTTTTTTTCAAGAAATGAATTAGCAAACTTAAGAGTCTTGATTCATAGATGAACTTCTTTCCCTGCCCATAAGTACTTGCCTTTAGAGTGACTCCTCTTTTTGATTAATCAAACATTAAAAACAAGTGCCAGCTGCCAGGCTTTCATCCCATTTGACAGATGCTGCAGTCTGCTCTTTTTTTTAATGAGGGCTCAATCTAATTCCTATTGAAGATAGATTCTTCACAGACAATGCAACATTTACAATTTAAAGGATACATTTTTTTTCCTTTCCCCATAAGAAAGAGAACACTGAAGACAGTTATCCAAGTCATCTGGAATGCTTTTGAAAAATTTCAGGTTCAGTAGTTTTCTAAGGGCATCTGCAGCTCTAATTTTGGTTGTATTTTCTGTGTCTTCTCACATACAGTGATATAATAAAAACTTCTTACTGAAGACAGAGCTTGCCTTTTTTTTTTAAGCAGCCCCCTATTTTAAAGGTCCTTAAATACTCATTATTAAATTGACTTCCTACATGTTATAATTCATACAGCCATGTATGTAATGTAAGTTTTTTGTGGGTGCATAAAGCAAACTGTAGTCATTGAACTGCTGAAAGAAGAAAAATCCTTCATCTTGTTCATGCTCACAAAGTACATAATTTAGCTCAAAGCAAGTATTTGCTTACAAATTCCTGAACACAACAGAAAATTCAGTTAATCGTTGGGTGAAGCTGGGCTAACTGGAATTGAAATGTCTAAACAGCAGTCTCTCATTCTGTGAAAGAAATACAATGGGAGTGATTTGTAATTGGAGTTTAAGGAATGCTGCAGATTTAGCCTGTTAAGGTGAAATGAATGTCACTGGGATAGACTAATTTTCTAAGCCTTTTTCCTAGTATAGAACATCTGAAATTCTTCAGCAGAATTTGCATCATATTTCTGAAGAAAAGCTCCCCCCTTTCCTGAAATAGGAACTGTTATGGCTTTATGGGTTTTTCCTGCTCACTACTCCAATACCTCTGATCATGCAGCAATTAACTAAATAGTATATTAAATATTATCACTGGTGGTGGTAAGATGGCTATCCCTAAGATACAGACTGGATCAGGGAAGGAAGATGGGAAAAGAAATTATGCAGTTTAAATCCAAGTTATTGTGCCAAAGAGCTACAACATACCATTACTGAAATTTAATTTTTCATAAGTTAATGCAAAAAAATAATAATATAATTTTTTGACCATAAATAATTTTACATAAAAATTAATTCTGTGAGTTGCATGTAAGTGATGACAGTCCTTGGTTAAGCAGTTCAGCTCCATCTTTCACTGCAAATGCTGCTTCTGAAACATGGCAATTCTCTCCACATCTTAATGCTGGAGCATACAGATGCAGACATTTGAATAATGGTTAAATTTAAATTTGACTTTAAGTATCTCAAAAAGGTCAATTCTGTTTTGCTATAGTTCTAAAACATAAGCTGTATTAACCTGAATTGGTAAACCAAAACCTTAAGGATAAATTGCCAAGAGATGTGTTGTAAAATGAAGGACACAGCTCTTTGTGAGAAAATTAATCAGGCTTAAAGAGTACTTTAGATTTTTAACATACAGATAATACAGAAAGTTAGTTTACAGAGCTAGAAACAAATTCAAGGATGGTATGTGTTAAATCCTCTGAAAAGACCTGAATTGTGTTACTGGCACACTTCATTCCATCTGGTATGCAGTGACTTCCCACACTGTCCCCCACCTACAGGTTAGTGTCCGTGTGTGTGTGTCTGTCCTCCCCTGCCCCACAGACTTGGGCCGTGTGATTCTGTGAACTGCTTCCCACATAATTTATACTGCTTTACATTAGAAATTGCAAAGTACTACATTACAGGCAGTAAAGGATTACTGTGCAGCAGGAAACTAGATGTGTCAAAATTTCAGAGTGAAAGATCCACAGAAAAGATAACAAGTCACTTGCAGGTTTTTCTGAATGCAGCATTTTTTTTTCTCAAGAGATGTTTGGTCGTTCCAAAGATTAAAGCCCTTAGTGTAATTCAGCACCATGCTATTTACAGAGTCAGAAAGGGCTGCCCTTTCTTCACTGCCCTATGGTGACTGCATTAGTAGGGTGTTCCACCCCTTTTTTCTGCCATATGATCCTCTTCTGCAGACACACTGCACAGCCAAGTAAGATGACATTTTGAATTGCACTGCAGTTTCCCTCTAGGTCTAGATGACCTTCTGTTCTTCTCAGGTAAGTTAAAGGTTATGAGAACACTAACGCCCAAAGTTAAAATTAAGAGTAGTTTAGGAAATGAGAAAGGTTAACCCTAAGTTAGTAAAAATGCAGTTCCACTCCACCTCTGGGAGAAATCAGTATACATACTCTCAGTTTTTTTTTTTCTCTTACATTTACTGAAGTAGCTTGAATATGAAATTTGCTTGAGTGATAGGACTGGCAAGTTACTCAGTCAAGGTGGTACTTCATGCAGTGACTCACTAGGTTGTATCTTTTCAGATGACACAATTCATGCTTTCAACAGAACAGCTCAACTATAATTATTGAACTGTGTTGAGAGCAGAGAAGGTGTAAAGTGTGTATGAAGTCAAGAAAAGTTTACCTTACTACAGTATCAATGCATGATTATATTTAAAGAAGAAAGATAAGATACATGCATTTTAAATACAGCTTTGTCTTTAACTGAAACACTGGTAAGAATCATTGTAGTTACAGGATTACAGCTGCAATGCATTAAAAATAATTTAGGCATTTTGCAATGTCTGCAAGTTTGCTGCTGTAAACAAGTGGCAAAGATATTTGAAAGGTAGCTGGTCCAAAAAGAGTGGCACTGTCTTCAACTGTTTCACTCATTTTTGTCATCCTTCTCCTCACTTGCTGTGAATTTTCAGAGTATAAAATGAGAGATCTCTTGGTCATGGGTTTGCTCTGCTCTAGAAGGCATCACTGGTCTGGATTAGGATCTGGTAGAGAGGCCACACTCTAGAATCTGAATACTAAAAATATGCAAGTATTTAAAGAATGTCTCTACTCTTTCAATGAGCTCCTAGAGCTCTTCTGTGGAGTTTGTTGATGGAAGACCAAGTATTACTGGGAAGAGCATTTGTCAAAAGTAAGCAACATAGCTTTAAAAGCTGAGGGTTTTTTCCCTACAATGATAAAGCTGCATTATCAAGAGCCTATTGTGGTATTTATGCCATTGAAAGTTTCTTTACATTTCTGATGGTCCTGAACTGAGTAAAGACAGTGGATCCATGTGTATTAGCTAAAACATTATTAAGTAGAGCTTTATTATAGTGATTTAGTATGTATTTTTTCTCTTACCTGTGCTGTTCTCAGTGAAGATTTTGAGGAGCCAGTTCTTTGCAGGGGGGACTTGGAATTTGCACGAACTATGTCTAAGCGAGACTGATAGTCTGGTGGATAAAGGGAGCTCCGAAAAACCTAATCAAATGGAGAAAGCTGTGACTTAGATACTTGCAAGCTATGAATCACCAAGACTGAAGCTTGCAGAAATGCAGCACTGGAGAAGAACCTTGCAGCTTGATTAGATTAATTTTCTGCAATAATCATGAGATCTAGAGATGTGCATTGACTATAGTTTGGACTGATCACTTTTAGCTGAAACAAAGTCCTTGCTTAACCTGAGAAACATCAACATACTTATGTGGTCAAAAATTCTTCAAGAGGTTTGGGGACATTTACACAGGGAAAACTGCAATAATTTCCCACCAAAATACATAGCTGAGTTTCAGGCCAAGCTAGAATTATGAACCCCAGCAACTCCTTCAGGCTCTCCATTTCTTACAAAGATGAACTCAACCCCTTCATAAGCAAATCCCTGCTGTTGGTCACAACTGCATCAGAAAAATGTTACTTGCAATGTACATGATATGTACAACTCAAGAAAAATTTGGGAATACAGGGGAGACGATGACATCCATAGTATTTTCAAGTTATTTCGATAACCAATACAGCTATTTGTGCAAGACTTTAAGTCAAGAGGATGGTATATTATGGTCAGTATTTTTATGAAAAGTAAGTAATTGTCCAATTAACAGGAAATTTAAAATGAGATTAAAAATTTGGTTGTGAAAGACAAAGTACTGACTTTAAGTAGAGATTTCTAAATTGGTGCCATGTGACATTGTAACTGTGAAACTAAAATAGTATAAAATTCCCATGGCATAGTTTAAATGAAGTAAAATTACCAAGTAGTCTCAAATATAACTGTCACTGAAGACTCATGGTTTTTTAAGTCTTGTGCTAACTTGGTTCTGAGTTACGTCATAGAAAAAATAAAATGATGACTGGTATGATTTACAAAAAGACTGAAAATGATCCAACTTTTTTGACAAACCAAACATACATACACAACACACACTTCCATGATGCTAAGTTTAAAGACCCAGCATCCAGAAGAACTGCAAGAATTAATAAAGGACTGAAAAGCGTATCTTGGGCAAGAGAGACTATAATTCAAAAAGAAAGGGCGACTTGAAGCTGGTTACAGCCACAAGGCAAAAAACTACAATGTAGTAAATAACAAATGTCTCTTAATTCTAGAACAGCCTAATGAAAATGATTAAAAGATGAATACAAGCAAACAAAATTCAGGTTAGAGGGAGATCTTTAATGTAGTAATTAATCTCTACATCATCTTACTACAGCAGTATAAGATTTTTTTCTATGTGCATCTGTAGAGCAAGACTCACTGCAGAAGTGTTCTTTAAAAACTGTTTTTTGTTTAGCTGAGCTTGGGAATGGCAGGTAATTTTGTGAATCTCTTTTCTGTGTTTTGTGGGAAAGATTAAACTGCCACTGCAGTTGTTCTCTGTTTGTGTTCTCTGGGATTACAAACCTGCACATTTGCTGAAGAAGTGAAAAAAAAAAAAAGAAGCTTGGTATACATGAGTTTGTTCTAGGAACCTGAAGTATTTGTTGCATTTTTCTGTGTGGAACATGTGTAGCTGAACTGTGATACTGTTTTCACATAGGAAGTAAACAGAAAAGCAAATCTCAGTCACTCTTACCTCCAAATCTTCATTTTCATCAATATTTTGGATATTTTGATAGGCAGCAGTATATATTTCTAAAGCTTTCCCATGGAACAACATTTCAATAGTTATAAATTCAGAAAATATGTTCTGAAAACAAATGAAAAGAAAGGTTTTCTTAATGCAGTAAGTATATTTGCACTTCAAAAAATTACTGTATTCTGTGTTTGGTATTTACATGATATAAATAACTGCATGATACTTAGTACTTTTAAATAATTAGACCTGAATTTTAGACATTAAACACAAATTCTGGCTGGGCTATCATTTACGCAGTTATTATTTAATAATAAATTCCAAATAACTACTTTAAAAGTAAAGAGGAAACATATTAGGAATAACCTGTCACTGAAAAGTCACTCGATAATCTCCAATATGTATTCCCAAGGGATCATCAGAAGTTTTGCTGTTTTGAAGACTATTTTTTATAACAGGCTGAGGATAAGTTATCTGTAGATTCTCTATCTGTAATTTACAAATCTGTAAAATATCCATGAATACCATGAGATTTGCATTTCAGTGAATACTAGAATGTTGCTAATCTTGCCTCTGACTAACTATAGTAATTTTATTATGCAAGATGAAATGTGAGCACACATACTTTGATGTCCCTTATCTTCTGTTTCTCAAAATTATCTATGGTTTCCTCCAAGTGCCGAGTTGTTCGAGTAGCATCCAGTGTTGCTCTCTGCAGTTCATTTTCAGCCTGGTAAAGTAACACAAAGTTGGAATTAGTCTTGTATTTGATACAAAGCTATTTGCTGTAATTGCTGTGATTTAAGTCCGAGTTTGCCAAACAATACGTATCTGTGTTACAGTATTTTAAATCTGTAGCTTAATGAACATATAAAGATGCTTTCTACAGTGTTGTGACTTTGATGTGAAACATGAAAATTGACCAGCTGCAGCCAGTCAGGAAAGTCCCTCTGCCCTGATTAATTTTCTGTAATAAAGTTTTACTGAGCCAGTCCTGACATCCCTTTGGCAAGACAGTGACTGGATTTAGGTACTTAACCCAGCACAGGCCAGAGTGGTGGGTGAGCAGGAAAGATAACCCTTTTTTTTCTACTGCAGATTATCCTGCTGGGTCCAGCAAGATTATTTTCCAGTATAGTGTGCTGAACCTCATCTTAGTAAGTTTTTACAAATTATTTAAATAGACAATTATAGCAGCAGCTGGAATTAATGTACTTATCACATAAATATCTCAATTTCAGGCTAGAGTCATTGTAATTTTTAGATTCAAATGCATTTCAGGTATTTTATATTCTTAATGTTTTTGTATTATTAAAATATCTTATAAAAACCATCTTCAGCAGGGCACTGGGAAGGGGACACATCAACCAATTTTTAACACATAAATACAGTTTTTTTCTTATTTTGTTACAAAAAGCATTTTCGAGAGCTATTTTAACTTTGACACGATTATAACTCTGTATAAAGTTGACTACCATTCAATGAAAGATATTGAAACTATTCTGATTAAGTCAAGCTTGAGAACTGTGTGCTATTACAAATTAACAATGTACAGCTGTAAGAGCTTGCACTTGAAATCTACAAGATTTGGGTCTAAACTCCTGTTATTTTCCATACATTATTGCTGAAACATCATACACTGGTGATACTTACATGCTCAGTCAGTATCATCACAAATCTGTTTTGTCATGAGATTTGGGAGTAGTATATGGATCAAGTACTGTATCCTATGATGAAGCAGTAAGCCTCTTCCCATTTCTACAAAACTGCAACTGGAGAGGATTTTTTTTAATGGAAAAAGACACCACAGGTCCAGTTCCTGTGATCTAGCTATTAGTGTTACAGATATAGAAACCAAAGGCATAAGGCATGCTCTATTCACTTCTTTGATTGTAATCTGCTAATCTTATTTTACAGGATTATCAATTTGAAACAATCTCTGTTCAAAAACAGCCTAAAATCACAGACACAATTCTGCCATTCTGGGGCAAACAAAATTGATAATGATATTTAGTAATACATAAGGTCACATGTTCATCTCTCTCTTTCTTGATTTTGCTCAAACCACAGGAGGGAAGAAAAGACATCTTGTGTATTTTCAATTACTTCCATCAGTCACTCTGTAAGTGGTGGCAGCATATGCAACCCTTACACACACAAATACAGTATGTTATTTCTATGATAATCAAATACACTTCCTCAATACATCTTAGATTGGACATAATTTGTGCACATATGGTTTGGGAGAGGAATTCTGGTTATTTTACAGTGAAATGTCTAAAGTCACAGAGCCAGCATATTTTGGACAACAGCAGTTTTCTCTTCTGAACACTCACCTGTGACTGGAAATATTAGTAAAGGAAAAAATGGCAATGTAACAATCAATATTCATGAATGTGTTTATTTTCACTTCTACTTTTGCTGTGAACTATTTACCTTAGTTATTTCAAAACATCTATATATTTAGTGCTATTATTATGTTGTCTGAAGCCTTTGGCTGCAAGATGTAAACATTGTTAGAGCTTTGCTAGAATTCAAGTATCCAGACCAAAACATTTCAGGAGAGCTATCTGTTTTGGACTGAGGGCTTGGTTATTTATATTTAAAAGAAAAAAATAAAAAGCAGGCAACCTACAGTTTAGCAGACTTCTTCAGAAAAAAAAAATCTATTTTGATTTACAGGAGTGTATTTTTAAAAATCTGGTAATGTTTCCCTTTCAAAGCTGTGCTAACACACGATTTTTAAGATGGGAGTGAGTACAGATTCTTTACATCCTGTGGCCAAAGTTGTTCACTGCTGCAACATCAGTTGGTCAAGAATAAGAGAACCCCTGCAGGAACCCAGCTGATGAGCTCTAATGTGGTAAAGCCTCTCTCAAGATCTGAAAGCTGACCTGCACACACCCTCAAAAGCAAATTAACACATTCCTGCTCCTAATACCTTTTTATGTGTTTTGAGTGTCAATCTGACCTTTTAAAGTGTCAATCACTTTAAAATGCTAATAGGCAACATTTGGTGCTTTTCCCATGTGCAGAATCAGACTGTACTGAGATTTTATAACTCTTCTGGCAAAGCCTTAAGTGTAGAAAACAGGTGTTAAAAGAAGCTAATTCACAGAAAAGTATTTGGGAGAAGCTTAGAAAAGAAACAAGAAGAAATGAACTAGGTGCCAGTGACATACCCATGAAATTAAATGGGAATTAGCTCAAGAGAGAAAAATGGGACCAGTCTCCCTTTGGGAAAAAACAGCTTGTTGTTATAATTTACTCCCTTAATTCCAACAAAAGAGAACTTTGCAACACAGCTCAAATTCTAACCCTTTGGCTGACACAGATCTGTCTTTATTATACTAGGAACTCTAATTAAGTAATTCCTTCATTTAACTGATTTGATTAATATTAAATGGAAATTCTCTGGTGAAGACAAAAATAAAATGAAGTTCTCCTGTGTCCTGTTTGACCAACACAGTCATTTTCATTCTTTCTACAGTCTCATGCCCCAGTCACTACAAAGATCCTGAAGATTCTGAATTGATAAAATCCAACAATGAATAGGACTGCTTAACTCTCAAGTCCAACACTAAAATGTGATAAAAAGTAAACAGCACATCATGAAGATAGATCCTCTATCATAGTACACAAGCATAAGAAGACTGAAGTAGGATTACCTTGATCCCATTTATTTTGGCATTCCTTAGATTCTGATTGCTTCAAAATTTGAAACTTTGACGAGATTTTAATAGAAATCATATTTCAGTTTGATGGAGGCTTAATTTTTCCCACCATGGTACAGAATAGTGTACTGAGGATGGTGACTGGTCTTTGGAAAGGAAGTGTAGTCTAGTTGAGTATTCTACTAGCAGAATAACAACTTTCATGCAGCTGGAGAAAACTCATATCCCATTTAGGTACGAAGATCAAAATGGCACGGAGAAAAACAATAAATCCACAGAAATAAAAAATAAATTGTTTGATTACACTTACTTTCAAGAAGTTCCAAATTCCTGGATGTAATCTATGCCTGCCTCTCTTGCATAAACATAATAATTGATAAATAATTAATAAACAAAATCATTCATAGTTTCTTTTCAAGTCAAAAGTAACTACTGCTGTGTAGCAGCTATAACTCTTCATTAAGTTTAAGAAAAGATTCAACATTGGAAACAGTCCCTCTACCCTCTAAGGAGCGCTACCTGTTATTACTACTTCCTAAACAACAGTTTAATTCCAAAGAAATTTAAAAAATATTTCTCATTGTGACTAGAAATGCAGGATACAATAATGTGTAGATCTGATGGATTTCGCTGACGTGTCTTTTCCAGTTGAGATAATTGCTTGGCTTCTCGGTTCTTTGCTGTTAAAGTTGCTCTAAGATCATCCTGGAAATAAAATGTTTTAGACATGTTTGAAATACAGTTAGCATAATATAAAATATGCTCTCTTCATACATGCATTGCCTAGAAAGCATGGACAACAGCTCTACTTCAAATAAAAACAGATTTTAGTGATCTGTTAATTGATCCTATGAAAGAGAAGTCAGTGGGGACTCGGAGAGTTTAGCACCTTGTGCAACTCCCTACAGCACATGTTATAGTTGAAAATGTGGGGAAGAAAAGAAAAAGATATTCACAGCTTTACATGAAAAGTACAGCAGATGGTTGCAAGCTGAGATCCCCAAAGTGTTAAGAAGGCAGACTCATTCCTGACTTAGCAATAGAATAAATGTGGTACTTAGAAATAAAAAGCAGCATCAAATAAAGCGACATCAGTCAGTACCAAGAAGTTATGAAGAAAATATAACTGCTGTCACCTGTCCACTGTCAATGGCTGTCACTGCTGGCAGTGGAGCTGCTGACTGGGCTGGAGCAGAAGTCTGATGAGGAAGTGGCTGAGGGAGCTGGGAATGTTTAGTCTGGAGGAGGCTCAGGGGGAACCTTATCGCTCTCTACAGCTCCCTGAAAGGAGGCTGTAGTCAGGTGTGGGTCAGTCTCTTCTCCCAGGCCATCAGTGACAGAATGAGGACATATAAGCTGCACCATGGGAGGTTTAAATGAAATATTAGGAAAATTTTTTCCATGGGAGGAGTGGTCAGGAATAGGCTGTCTAGGGAATGGATGGAATCACAATTCTGGAAGTGTTCCAAAAAGGTGCTGATATGGCACTTGGGGAGTTTACTGGTGAACATGATGGTGCAGGGCAAATGGTTGCACTCAATGATTAGAGAGATCTTTTTCAACTGAAACAATTCTGTGCTAGAAGGTATCATATTCTATGGCTGAAAGGGTTAAGCTGCATATATATATATATGCATTTAGTAAAGTGTTTCAAACCATTTGAAACAAAATACATCCAAGTAATGATGGAGCTGGAGAAGATAAAACTTAACTGATCTAGAAAAGGCAGAAACTGTTGATAACTGGTTTTGTTCCATTTCCAAAGGAGTAGTAGTATGTACTTCTAGGAATATCTGTGACAATTCAAGAATGTTAATCTACCAGTTTTCTCAAATTTTTGTTCATGCTATAAATTTGTTTTTCTAACTGTTTGGCGTTCATGGAATGTAAGATTATCAGTCAAGTATTTATCACTCCACTGATGCCGGTATGGAAAAGGTCATTAATTTTGATGGTTCCAGTTTAAAGGAGCAGTAGTTTAGAATAAGTAGAAATACAGTCTAAAGTCTAACAAAATCTGAGGCAGGATTGGGCACACATTTCAAATGACTTTTCACTCTAAAATACCACTTCCCATTTATTTATTACTCCAGAATGGAGTTAGAGCTATTAGAATCTATCATATTGGGAAGTTGTCTGTGCTCCTTCCTTGGATTTCACAATTTTAATGCTTGTATGTTGCCATGACTAAGAAGGATGGATATGCAACTAAGAACACGTCTTTCAGTAAGTTTTGTGATCCCATGACCAGATCACTACTCAGTGACAAGCACAAGATTGCCAAGTTTCACAGTGCTGTGTGTTCCTTTAATAATGAGACTGCACATGAGGTCAGGGTCAAAACATGCAGTTTCTTCCTTGTTTCTATCCTTACTGTCTGTATGTCCTTGTATATAACTCATTTTCCTTCATCTCTAGGGACACAGAGCTGACTTCTGATAATAAAAACTACTTCATGTTCAGCCCATCAATGCTGATTTTACTGCTGTTCTTTCAGAAGGGAATTTACAAAATCTGTAAGGTCAAAGACTACTGAAAAGGCCTTTTGCTTTTTTGAGAACCATGTGGCTACAAGAAAAGCAATAGTACAAATTCTTAAATTGTTTTTTTCCAGTTTAAAAATGTAAAGGTAGAGAAAGAGAATAGCACTGTTAGTGTTAATAGCACTGACTTTCTAGGCCCATTTAAAACAGTCAATCAGATTTAACACTGTGGCTTGAAAGGGTACTGACTTTCAAGCAAAGTGTACTCAAGGATGCAAAGTTCTAGAGTTATCATTATTAAATTCAGTATTTTCTTTCTAGCATGTAGTGACTTTGGAAATACCTACAGGGACTGAACTGTTCCCTCCTCTACCTCTGTTTTCTGTAGCAACAGCCATCATGAAACATATTTCTCTTCTAGCCAAAGTGTGACAAAGAATTAGTGCTATGATGGCCATAGTGGTGAAGCTATATACAAGTTTTGGATGTACAAAAGTAGGGCACAGTTACATACATATTTTGTCCAAGAAAAGGGTGCAGAAAAAACCCCAATAAAAATATTAAAAAGCTGGGGAAATGTAATTTATGGTGAAAGAATCAAGGTATCTATTACCTAACAGAAAAAAGAAAAATTTGTTTTACGAGCATCTAAATACCTTCATGCAGAAAAAAAACCCAGGGCATTACAGAGCTCTTACATCTCAGTGGAGCACATAACAAGAACTAAAGATTAGGTGAAATCTTTCATTTAAAACAAAACACCACAAACATCAACTAACCACTAACTACCATCAACAGTCCTACATTCACCTCCAGTGTCTTTAGACCAAGCTTTGACATGTTTTTGGAAAATATGCTTTAGGTACACTCTAGAAAAAGTGTAATGGAATAGGCAATGAGATACAAGGTACAAAGAATATAAAATTATTCATAGTCCCTCTAGGTTTTAACTATGAATTCAAAGTCACAAGAAAGAACTCTGGTCAAATCATATTTTCCAAATCATACAAAAGTACAGCTATAATTCATCCACCAGACAATGAGCTGGCAGAGCTTCATCACTGTACTGTTACCTGCTTTAGTCACTGAAGTTATTAAAGCAAATCAATCCTTTATTCTGTATGTGGATCACATTGGTTTTATGATGTCCTGTTTTACATGAAGAAAAGGAACCAGGAACAGAGTTGCCAAAAAGCAGAAAAGTGAAGACTGATATATAGAACAATGAAACAGAAAGAAATCCTCATCCTACATTTAAGCTGTGTTACAGGACAAGAATATTGTTTTAGCTTCCACTGAAGCTATTCAGCATTGTAAACCAGAAGAACAAGTGAATGAAACAATTTTACTGCATTAGCAAATCAAGGACAACACTACTGTGATTGACCTGAGCCTCTTTAAAGCATTTAGTAGCACAGGACATTGATGTCTTACACCACACAAAAAGCAACAGTTGTTTTTAGATAAAGTACAGAAATACTGCTGTCTACTTCTGAACAGATCAACTGAGTAAGCAGCAGTGAGAACATCCCCTTTATAGAAAGTAGCTATAATGACATACTCTGCCTGATTTAACTGAGTCAGCTAACGTAGTTACAGCTAAAGCAGTCCTAGAACTAGCACCTTGTGCTAGATTTACATGAGTGACAAAATTTCCTTTGTCACTAAATATGTCCCAGTGATTATAGATGATAACTGAAGACCAGGTAGTTGAAGTTTTAACCAAGGTTTTTGTTGTCAACGTGCCAAGGGAAAAAATAGCCATTTAATGGTATACATCTCTAGAGAACTCTATCTTAGTTCAAAGGTAAACTGGTAAAATAGTTGATCTCATCTACAGTTTAAAAATGCTCTTGTATTTCTCATTATAACTAAAATAAAGATTATGCAAGGCTTTCTGACATTATGAAAGGCAAAGGCCACAGGAAATTCAATTCACTGTTGCAAGCAATGACTTGGTTTCAGTTGCTTCTGTCCTCAGCATTACTGGTATCAGCGGCAGAGCACCTCAAGGAAGTCTCTTCAATGCTTCGGAAGGCCCAGGCATTGCTGTGACGTTTTGTGTCTCCTCAGCAAACTCTACCACCACAAACACATGAAACTTGTCTTCCACTCTCAGCATTTATACCTTACAAAGTACCCAGATCTCACAAACTGGTGACCATTAAGATACCAGGTTTTAGGCTCTACAGTCTACAGCTCTGCTAAGGACTACCGAGGGTAGTCCTACTCAAGTGTAGGATGCATTTCCTTCACAATCATTTCTCTAACCACCAAGTGAGGTAACTGTGCAGTAAGTTCCAAACAATATTTGGTTCTTCACCATATGAAAAAAAACCAAAAAACATAGGAAAACGGCTTGCTTGAGATGCACTGCCACCACCTACTCAAATCAATGATGATGAACACACCGCAAGATTTCTGTTTTGGTATTTTTGTAAAATACCATCAGCTAATAATAATGATCCAAGCTTTTGATTTATATAGATTATGGTACAGACATATACATCAATTACAGATTTGAGTCTGCAGGATTAAGGTATTATCTGTATAAGATACATGTATTACAAAGATCTAATTTTAGTATTTGCTTATTAAAAATTCCTTGCTCAAGCTTATCTTTCCTGGGGGAAAGAAACTTACAGGTATTTTAAGGGAATATTTCAAACCCCTATAAACATTGTTTCAAAAATATAGTGAATGAAGAGATGTCAGATTTTTGTGTATCTTCAGGTCATAGTGTTGACTTAACAGAGCGGGATTTAGGCACTACCTACTTATCAGGTTCAAATGTGTTTTCTAAGTTATGAACTTTAATGTAGAACATAATTCTGAGTTAGAAAAGCTGTTAAAGGCAGCATATTGATGACTAAGTAGTAGTAATAATATAATCAAAATCACACAATAATAAATGACATTATTTATAAATAAAAAGTCCTGAACTTACATTATCCAGGCAATTTCATACTAATGCCTTTTCTGAGCATTTGTTTATACTTGGAGAGCCTTGTCTTTGCATCAAAGCTCTTTCCTCCAACTTATATATTGCTTCAGTTCAGATGTCTAACTACATAATTTAAACTAATTACTGAAATATGAAAAATCAGAACTATTTTCCCTACAAACACGAAGTTTTCAACTGAGTTGCCAGAACGTAGAAATGTACCTTGTGAGAAAACACATGTTTAACCTACCCTTTTAAGTTTCACTATGGTCCCATAAGATTTCAGAGGTTCAACAACCTTGGCTTCCAGCCTGTCAACCTACAAAAAGAAATCACAAGGTTGCTAAAATCATCCATATTCATGGTGTGCAGGGATAGGAGACAATTTCTTTTAATAGTGACTCATCTTATTACCAATTAAATCCATATATGCTGAAAATATATTAGGATAAGGGTTTTTAAAAATTTTTTAAAAACTACAGTCAAGTACATTAACCAAGAAGGAATTTGTTTTCTGAAGAGCTCAAGCTGATTTCTAGTGGAATTCCTTTTTTCTAATTAGATCAGGATAAATGGAACATGGAAAATTATGAATACATCAAACTGAGTACTAAATACATCCAGCATTGCATCTTGGAGTTCTGTAGCTTTCTGTCTGAAGATCAGTGTATTTGCTGTACACTTACTGATAAGGTTACAGACTAAGCAATCTTTACTGTACAGAATGGAACACTTAAAAATAATGGAAATAGCATCACTGCTACTGAGTGTACTAAAAATACCAGTAACCAGGTATGTAGAATGCATAAATGCTCTCACAGATGAGTGGTTCTGAATTTTTGTTTCAGTTCTCCTAGTCAGAAAAACAGCTACATATGGTCAGACAGGCAATAGGATAAGACCTGCTCGTCAAATCTTACAAAACTGTCTGAGTGGCCTCAGTGTAATCTGCCAATGACTTATGGACCATGAGTGAGTCCTGTGGCCCATCACTGCTACATACAGAGTAGAACAAGGTGCATACCCCTCCTGGGAAGGGACAGTTCCCTCTATACTGATACTGGTAGTCACTAGTCAGCCAAAATCTATGCCAGCTGAGCATAGATTCTCCTTGATACCATCTACCAGTGCACTCTCAAACAATTTCACTTGAAGTGCCAATAGAATAGAAAGGAATAGGTCAGTAAGGCTCTAAACAACACATGTGTTACAGACATACCAAATAACCTGCCCATCTTACCCTACCAAATGTTGTGGTACCTCACACCTCAGTATTTATAGATCTAGCACTGCAGCTAAAAACCAGAAATTGATAATCCTTATAAGATACTTTTCTCTTGACCACTTTGTCAGCATACAGAAAAACTGTTAAGTGACTTGAAGCCCAGAAGAAGCAAAGCTGAGATAATATATTTTGAGGAGCAAAGGGGAACTTGGTTTAAAGATTAAAAGCTTTTCTTTTCCTTTTCTGCTTCTGTGTTTTTTCTTTCACAGGGTAATGGTAGTTTACAGACAGACATGGCAGGAGGATGAAGCCAAATGTCAGTTTTTAAAAACACATTTAAAATCAACAAAAGCAAAACTCAAGTTGTTACATGTGTACCTCAAAATTACAGGTTCTTAGCTGAATGATGAAAACAGAGATCATGCAGTCTGAGTTCACATTCACCTTTGGCCATAATATAAATGTAATAGCAGAGGATAATTTGCTATTACATCAACTGAAGCGTAAGGACCTACATGTGGCTCAGCTGGAGCCAGATGTAAAAGAGCTTTCAGAAAAATAAAAATTGCACACACCCTGAAGTTTCTTATTACTTCTTAAAAATCCCTCCCTAAATAGACTGTTAAAGATCCACACACATTCCTTGTATTTAAAGCTCTCTGCTTCCCATATTAACTACTTTTAAAAGGTTTTCTTTTTCCACTTTGTTATCATGAAGTGATGACTTGCAATGCTCTCCAAAATAAAAGTCCTATCTGAAGACATGAAGAATGTCTCTTCATTAATAAAGAATGTCTACTTCAGTCTCTTTTTAGAATTATAGTGGGTCTTAGCTGTTCAAAACTATAAAAGGGAATTTTTTATGTTCTACTAAAAGAATAGATATATACGCCCAAAACTAGTTTGAGTACATGTAAATGATTTTTTATTTAACCTCAGTATCTGGAATTCTGCATCATATGTTACAGTTTGACTGGCACCACACGTAAATGTGTAAGCGGCATAAACACCTTTCTTTGCACTTTCACTCATCTAACAGAAATGTGATTATATAGCCACATATGGTCCAAATCAAGTTTGTACTTTTAATGTTGAAGTACAAACTTATGATATCTACAGTGGTCCCTAACAGCACCTCTTCAATACTATTTCTGATAAAGCTCAGCAAAAGGAAAATGACTAATTTTGCATCAGCTGCTGCTACACAACTCAAGTCACACAACTAAAAAGAACACTATTAACCATAAATCACAATCTAAAGTGTAAGACAAATAAAAAAAAATTGCTCTTTCTCAAATACTTCAACTGTTCATATGGAAAGTTTTCCTGACTTCAACAGTACTAATTTTATGCAGTTTTTCCTGAAGTGATTAGGAGTGTAAATGATGACTGCTTTGGCAGCCTACCTTGCTCAGACATTAATATATTTAGATGTGTTGTCTCCTTTTTCTCTTCTGATTGCAGAGTATATGATTTCCCTTTTAATCATAGATAAGTAACTGAAAAGTTCAGATGGCAAACAGAACATGTACAGCTTTAATTTTGTACCTCTGCCTGGCGATAATCTTGCAGTCTGGAGAATTCATCTGCAAAGTTTTTCAGTCCAACTTTTAAGTTTGGTGTCTCTGTAGCTGCATATGCATATATTTCATTTACTAGAAGATCTGCTTTGTCTCGTAGTCTGGCAGTTTTACGTACATATCCAGCAAATATTTGGCACAATTCACCAAAATGTTTTTCCACATTTGAAACAGCATCTTGCATTTGTCTAGTCTGATTGTCCCTGGATACCAAAGAAAAATAAGACAGGCAGAAATGTTTACAACACATATAGAAGAAAAACGATATAATTTTACCACTAATAATTTGGATATCTCATTTCAGTGCAAATTAGAAATTTATTCTGAAAAAGAAAATGTTGTAACTGATGTAATATGTGCTTATTATGAATGCATAACAAACAAACAAAAAAGCGATTTACATTTAAAGATCCAATAGACAAAAACCCAAATCACAAAAATCTGCTTGGAAGATTTTCTCCTGCATTTAAGCAAAAGATCACTATTACTAATGACATTAGTTACTAACACAGTGGTAACACCTACAGTCAAACAAGACTTCTGCAAGACCATCCCTTCCTGCAACAGCCTGCAATCTAAACAGGCAAGGCAATGGCTGGAGAAATTAGGCAGAAGAGGACAAACCACTAAAGACATTAAATGTTCTTTAAATTGCAAACAATTACCAAACTGCACTACAGAGGATAAATACCACCAAGAATTAAAGAACAAAGGTGAATGGACACAAGAGGTGAAAACTGTAATACCACTGGAAGAAGGACATTCATCACACTAATAAATTACTTTCTTTTAAACTACATAAATCTAATTAATTTACTTGATCCAATACCTGTATGTTTCATTATTAATGATTCAGATAAGTCATTCCAATAACTCACATATTTCACTTTGTATTTTGCTTTCATATTCTTCATATTCCTATATTATTTGATGGTCATGTGAACTCATGCCCGTTGTTGATCTGAGTGCATCAGCTGTAAGACAATTCAGCTAACAGTGCCTGCCAGATACTGGGTCCTAAGAAATCTCTAAGGTCTAACACAAGGTTGTTGATTTGAAGTGATAGAATTCTCTGCAAGAGAATTCACTCCTACCACTATCTTGGCAAGGGACAGAAATAAAAACTTCCTTCATATCTGTAAGCTATCCCAATACTGCTGACTAGTATTTAAGTACTGACTTCGTATCAGGATACATGACAATCAAAAAAATTCGAAAAAATGTGGTATTTTGAGACTAAACAATACAATCAAGTCAAATGAGGAACACCTTTACTTCAGGAAAAGTATTTCATGCCAGAGTTCTGCCTTAGGCAAAAACCCAGCTGGATTGCTTCATGGCAAACTGTCTAAAAGACTGTTCAAAAGCGATTCCGTTCAGGCCAAAATAAAAAAAAACAAACCCATGGAAGTTATTCAGTCCTCCAAGACATGATGGAGCACAGAACCACTTGAATAGGGACGGTTTTACTGGGTGAGCAGGCAATTAAGAATTTCATTAAGTACTAATAAAGCTGTTTTTCAAAATTACATTACCTGATAAAATCTTCAGTAAAAGGTATATATTTCCTATTTTCTTGAAAGATCTTCATGTCAGAAACTGATTCACTCCAGAAGGAAGACATAATCGCCCACTTTAAAATTCAGACATTACAGTACACCCATACAACTAGTATTTAATTTTGGGACGCAGAACACTGCATCTTCTTATGTGGGAGTATAGAAGTCTTCATTCCCCCTCTCATTATCGCGACCGCTTAGAACTGCCCACAGAATCATCCGCGAGAGGTCCGACTAAATACCGGCAGCACATCTTTACCCCATCTCCGCATAGCAGACTAGGCCTGGAAAAGTTTTGCGGCCTTTAGCGGAGGAAAGCAGAGGCGGTCCCATCTCCTAGGGAGGCAGATGCGCTAAAGCCCGTGCCCGCATCTCCCCCGGCCCCCGCGCCGCCGCGGGCCCGCCGCGGGCAGCGGGTTCTGCCCGCAGCAGCCGGGCCCGGCGCCCCGCGGCCCCGTACCTGGCGTCCAGCCCGCGGCCCAGCAGCATCATGGTGGCGACGGCGGCGCGGCCGGCGGGAAGCGGGGGAGGAGGCGGCGCCGGCGTGCGCTCCGTTCCCATGGACACCCGGCCCGCCCCTCGGCCTGCGGGGCGGGCTGCGGCCGCGAGGCGCCGCGGGGCCGGCGCACAGTCCCGGAAAGCACAACCAGTGCGGCTGGAAAGAGCGCTGGGACCGTGGAGTCGAACCGCCGGCCGGACACCCCGTGCCAGCCGGAACATGGCACTGGGCGCCGCCTCCGGGCCTTCCTTAAACACCTCCACCTCACTGGGCAGCCCCTTCCAGCGTCTAATCACCCCTTCTGGGAAGAAATTCCTCCTTTTGTCCAACATAAACCTCCTCTGGCGCAGTTTAAGATTATGTATTCTAGTCCTGTCACTTGTTGCCCGGTAGGAGAGCCCGGCCTTGCCTGGCTGCAGTCCTCTCAGGGAGCTGTCCAGAGCGATAAGGTCCCGTGAGCTCCTTTTCTCCAGGCTAAACACGCCCGGCTCCCTCAGCCGCTCCTCACAGCACCTGTGCTCCACACCCTTCCCCAGCTCCCTTTCCCTTCTCTGGATGTGCTCCAGCCCCTCAGTGTCCTTGTGGCAGGGGCCCAGAGCTGGACACAGCACTCGAGGCGTGGCCCCGGCAGTGCCCAGCACAGAGAGACAATCCCTGCCTGCTCCTGCTGGCCACACCATTGCTGATACAGGCCGGGGTGCCGCTGTCCTTCCTGGACACCTGGACACATGCTGGCTCCTATTCAGCCGCTGGCAACAGCCCCCGAGGCCCATTCCCACGGTGCAGCTTTCCAGCCCCTCTTCCTCCAGCCTGTAGCACTGCAGGGCGTTGCTGTGACTCAAGTGCAGGACCTGGGATTTTGCCTGTTGTACCTCATACAGTCAGACTTGCCCTATTGATCCAGCTTGTCCAGGTCCCTCTGCAGATCCTTTCAACACTCCTGCCCAACTTGCTGCCGTCCGCAAATTTATTAAGGATGCATTTGATTCCCTCATCCGGATCATCAATAAAGATACTGACTAGGACCGGGACCAATACTGCTCCCTGAGAGACACAAGCAGTGACTGGTGCTCCCACACATGAGCCCTACCAAGGAACTTGTCTGTTCAAGGACAAGTGCAGTGTCAAGGCCTGGGCTGCTGCAGGAGCAGAAAGCCAGAAAGCTCAAACCTCTCCCATTAACCCCCCCAAAAAAAAAAAAAAAAAAAGTTTCTAAAAGGCTAACTTGTCTTCACCTAAGGAAGAGCTGTTGAGGTTGAGCAGCCATGGGAAAAATCCAATGGAGCACCAGAAAAGATCTTAAAAAAAAAGAAGAACAAAACAAAACCAAACTAAACCAAAAATATAAAAAAACCCCTAACCCCCTCTCTGTCGTAGTAATGTATTGGGAATGTGGCTTCAGGACTGTGTGGCCATGACCCTGTTGTATGAGACTAATGCAGAAAAGGCTCTAAAGGAGGATAGTGGGAATTGTGCTGTGTCTAACAAAAACCCCTCTGGTATTATGGTGGTCCATGAGAGCTAAGGACCTGGACAACTGTCAGCATGCTGGCACAGAGGTGCATGGCAACAACTTCATGCAGATAACAAACTTTAAGTTCCAACTAAAACCAATGGCCAAAAGTAATGAACAAGGTGGGTAACGGTGATGCTCCCATGGCATTTAGCAGGTTACAGAATTGGTGTATCCATTGGGATTATGTTACTACACAAAACTGTACATGTGCACACACGTGCACACATACACACACACAAAGAGGCCTCTCACTCAAGGGAACCTAGAAGATCTAAGGGTCAGAGGGATCTAAGAGATATTCAATCTGAAAATAGTCACTGCTGTGGGAGGGAGTGGTGAGGGGCACTCAGACCAAGGAATTCTCCCTGGATGGAGGTCATGGTGCAGAAATGTCATTGCCCTGTTCACTGGGGCACTGTCTGTGAACCGAGGGCTTCTGCCTCTTCCCATACCCTCCTTGAGTTGTGAAAGGTTGGTTGTCCCCATGTGTCAGCCAGGGAGAAGGTGAGTGCTACTTCCCCATATGTATGAAAAGAACTTGATAGGCTTACATGAGCATGCGAATAGAAACTGATTTAGTTAAAATTTGGTTTTTAACTTTTCTTCTTGGTTTTTCTCTTGAAAGTAGATAATTCAGATCACTTCAATGAAAACTTTGATTCACACAAAACAAAATATTCTTCAAATAATGAAGATCTAATTAGTGGTTTGGACCAACTTAAACTAAAACAAAATGTTGCCAATTTTTCTTAAGGCAAGTTTGTGAAACCAGTGATAAAACTCACTCTAAAGGTTTGCAACCTTTAAGGAGTTGGTAGACTAATGTCTAAATGGAAAATATCTTTCAGAGGACGCAAGGGTGAGAGGGCAGCTGTTACTTGGAAGTCTTAATTTCTCAACTGCAGGCCTGAGAACAGAGGCTTCGGTGTTTATTGTTAAATCTTCCCACAATTAATAATCTAATAAATCAGCTAAATGACCTACCAAATAATGACATCACTATTATTACTGTGAAATTCTGTAGTTCTCCTCACTGTAGCAAGATCGAAGTTTATCACTCTTGGATCTTATTCATTACACAAAACTACCACTGAATCAAAATTGAATATCACCCCTCTCTTGACTGAATCACACTGCTTGTTATCGGTGCAGTACAATCCATCTCTGGATGGATTTTTTGAGGGAGATTTTTTTCCCCAAATTCTCCTTCAGTTATGTAATTGTCTGTATGTTGTTTATATGTCACACTTTCTCGGACATACTATTCCATTTTATTCCTTCCTTCACCTAACTCCATTTACATCTAAGCACTTTATCCTATATGCAGACAACTGACATACCAGAGCAAGGCTTATCCTGGTAATTTTTTTCCTCACTATTTTTGTGCTCAGATAGCATCCTGACATGTTCTTCAGAACTTCTCCTGGTCTCCTGAGGTAGTCTTGTCTCTTTACAAGGACCTGTACTCCAGCAGAACCTTCCACTCACAAATTTTAAGAGCTCTGAAAGTTGGAAACATCTATTCTGCTACTTAGGTTTGGACTTCATCACCCAGGAATGGTCAAGCAAAGCAAGTTCTAGAATACCCAGAAATTCTTAATAAACAGCAGAGCGGTGCTCTATGATGTACTATACAAACAGTAAAAAGAAGTACAATTCAATTTGCTTCAAACTGTGGGTCAATGAGAAACAGATACTGCAACTTAATGAAAGGCTACCAGACTGAAAATAAGGAAAAGTTACTTGTGATTAAAGTTCAAGAAGTACTTGTCATTGGAGTAAGACATGAAAGAGGAATCACAGCTCATCTTCAGTTATTACGAACTTCAGTCCTGAAGTATGGTACTTGGCATAGACATTAAAAAACTTAATTTATATATGCTGATTTCACACATGGTTTGACTTAATAGTTCTTAATATGATGCTGTAGATAGTCCTGGAATATACGGCCCACCAGCTCCAGCTGCACATAGAAAGTTGAAAATAATGTCATGAGGGCCTTTTGAAATTTTGAGTCATCAGAGTGTATAAGAGCACAAGCTGCATAAATCATGAAGTGGAAAAATATTTTTGTATGATGATTTAGAAATAATTATGGAGAATTATGTTGAAATTTATGCCAAATTTCCTGCTCATTACCTCTAAGTAAGTTTCCAGAATAACATACTAAAGATGATGACATCTTATAAATGACAAATTCTGCAGATAAGAAAGCTCTGAAATATCCAGTTGGCAGTGTTTTCCAATATTGCTCCAGATAAGCAACAGACTCCTCCTGACTTAAATCAGCTTGAGTAAATTCTCTGTACTGCTTTATTGAACAACAGTATGTAACTCCAGCAGTGTTCAGCGCAGTGAAGAATTGCCTGTCATTACTGCATAGAAAAAGCAGGGTATGCATAAGTCTGTGGAAACTTCAGAAAAACTAATTGGGATAGAATTTCTTCCATCATATTTAGGGAATGCCTTAGCCTTTAGTAAGGTAAAGCCATATTTCTCTGTTGGAATTTCTCCAATGAGTATGTTCTAGATATATGTAAAATACCAACAGAATGTTCAGTCAACTTTTGTTTCTGCTAACTGATGTTAATTTATATGGTATAGTAATTACAGAGTGATCCATACAGGTCCAGGGGTTCATCTGTGCACTGTGGTTGATTAGTCTGTATGTGGCTGATAGGCTGCCTCTATGTTCATGTTACTACTTCTTTTCTTACAGTGTGTTTATAACTTTAGAATATTTTTTGCAGTCTTTAAACTTTTTATGTAATGTTCCATTTTCCTGTTCACCTATGCTATCAAGTCTTATTATATGTATTAAAAGGCAATCATTGCAGACCTTGAATGTCAAACAACATTATTTTACAGAGAAGTTTAGCTCCTAGCAGATTTAGCATTATTTAGATTTAATAATTTCAAGTGTTTCTTCCTTCTGTAACCATTTTTCTCTTTGTGCTATTTCACTTCTTTGGGCCTGCAGCTCCCTTACTTAATGCAGAACTACACCACCTCTTATTCCTAGCTCTGTGTTTTCTCAGGAACAAGAGGCAGCTTTTGGAAAACATCTTCCTCTGATGCACAAGCTTCCAATACTAAGTTTCAGATATCTTAATTAAAAATCAGTTAGTTTGTTAGAGAAAAAATTGTCAACATAATTAGAAAAGCAGTAAAACATTGTTTCCTCAGGCTAATACCCGCAGGCCGGTATAACCTTCTGTCATCCATTTTGTCAGTGTTGGTGAAAGCATAGCAGCCTCTTGATGATTTATGCATTTGCCTGTTGTTTTTTTACTTCTGCAATAGAGCTTTAACCACTGTCAGAGGCAGGATGCTGGGCTAACAGGGTCTTTCTTCAGCACAGGCACTCATGTTTTTAAGGTGTTATTTTTTTATAAACAAAGACGAGTTCTTTTGTTTACTTGAGTTCCTTGTTTACCTCTGTGTAAGTATTTTTGCTCCTGTGCTTCTCTTTATGCAAACTAAGTTCAAAGGTGAAATAATAAATATGTCTGCAACATGCTGCTGTACAAGTTTTATTTG